ATACCTTTCATCCTGAAGAGATATCATGGCATGACCATTACTTAAAATAAAAATAATTTACTATTTTCAAAAAGTATTGATCATTAGCAAATGATATGTATTCGCAATTTGATGTCTCAACTTATCAAATCATAATATAATTTATTTATTCTGATCAAGAAATTGAGACACCAAATGTGCAAATACATACAAGGAGCAGAGACTAATCCGTTGTTTTACCTTCACTTGAAGGTGGGTTATAATTTGTTTCAAAACCTTTGAAGTTTTCGGTGTGGGGAAGAACATTAGGGTAGCGGCGGGGTGTTGCGGTAGACTGACCAGCAACCCAAGCGCCTCTTTCTAAATCTTCTCCGTCATCAGCAACCAACAGCAGAAATCGATTGATTGGTTCGAAGTGAATTAGCAGAAAGAATTAATTCAAAGGAATGTGAGAAGATCTGTGATGCCATTCTAACCGAGAATCACTGTTCCCGCATCTTCAAGACGCCAAGCACTCTAACTCAGGAGTTGGGAAACCATTCAGATTTGAACTAAGTTAATTGTGATTGCACCCCGACCCAGAGCTCACCCCCAACCTCACCTAACCATTGTTACTTTTTCAATTCTGGCACTCGTATAATTATATCTATGGAGGTTTTCTTCATATTGGACTAGTGAATTTACTGATTGCTGGGTACACCTGATAAAGATCTCAGCAGCACCTTCCGCTTGACGGTTTTTTAGTTCAGACCCACTGCATTAACTCTTTTATATGTAATGAAAAAAAGAAGAAGGTTACTGCTATTCAAGGGGGCATCAAGAAAGAACTGAACTTCTGCTTCTGAAGGCTTGTGATTTGTGAAGTGAGCATTTATTTGAAATATTTCCTTCTCCAATATTAAATCTTACTTGCTGTACTTTTATTTCATCAGTAGAATTTGCCTAGTATAACTGAAGCAAGCTCTCATCCCCATTATCTGTTATATGTAATATGCAAATGCTAACTTTGGCATCTAAAAATTGCATTTTATCACTGGTGGAGACCATAACCACATATAGAATGTAGAGCATATAAATGGTGATCCTCTTTCATGGTGCACTTCAATGCGGTTCCATCTGTAGCTCCCATGTTCTTACCTTTCCCCTCCGCAGAAAGCGAACGAATATTATCTTCTTCCTTGGAAACCTTATATAAGCATGCACTGGTAGCCTTGAATGGTAAGAGGAATAACATTGTGATGTTAGCTAATGCTGATATCACAAATCTCAACATTTATGAGCATGAATTGTTTTTTTTATACTCTTCTCTTGAACCTCTCTTAAATATAAGTATATAACCCATTAAATATTTAAAGTATTGTCTTTAACAAGGCTTCAAAAGAAGACCAAGTAAGACTCCATAAGAAGCAGAACAGGAGTACTTCTCTAAACTCTTGAAGACTCTCTGCAGTGATAAAACGGAAATGCGACCTTCAAGACTCGGTAATTGTTTTTAAGCGTGTACATGATGTGGGAGTGGAAGACCTAAGGAGACGACTGGAGTGAATGGCCTGTGGAAGGATGAGGACTTGGGGGAGGGGGCGTCGCAAACTACACAGGACACCCGGTTGTAAACTTACGGCTGGCTATAATGTTCTTCCACGGTTCCACCCCTTCCTTGCTGATCGAATCCTTAGTATATGCTTCTTCTTCTTTCTTCTTTTTTCTCTTTTCTTTGCTATAGTTCTTTCTACTTCATTTCATACTTCTTATTCTTTTGTTTCCTAGCTGATCCAATAATTATTCCCTGCTATGTGCTCCTGAGTATTTTTCTTTTGATGCCATTTTCCTTTCTTTCTACTTTCCCATTTTTCCCATATTATATTCCATATCCATATAACAAACACAAGAATACGGAAGGAGTATTTATATCATTACTACAATTCTTGATTTATACTTTCATCATACCTAAAAACTCCTACCGATTCCAAAGAACTAATGAAATTACAATAAAACATCTATCATAAGCTAATAACATAGTGCATTTTTAAAATCGGCTCATAAATATAAAATGTTCGCCAATTGAAAAAATCAAGTATGAATATGCATTCCTTCTTGATGAAATATTTAATTGTTTGTTGCACTTGTATAAAATGTCAACATGTATGATTTTTTACATAATTGTTCTTGTTTGGAGTAGTTTTTCTTATTATTTCCTTCTACACTTAATAATTTTGGATGTTTTATGTTATCTTTTTACTTTTGAAAATGTTTATAAAAATATATGTGATGTTTTGAAGGGCCTAAATGGCAAATATTAATTGTTTAAGACTTAATACACGTTGTTGTTAAGTTTCGGATCAATCAGAGTCGGTTCGGGCGGTCAACGAACCATTGACTGTGTAAATGGCAATGGACCGGCGTTGGTCAGGGCTTGAACCGGCGCTGGTTTGAGCACGAGGCTGGCCATTAAATTAAATTAAATGGAACTGGCACCGATTTGGTCCTGTTTTGCCTAAATGTGATTCATTTGCATGATTTTGCATGAATTGTTGTGCTTAGGCTATAACACTTCTCTACCAGATCGGTTAAATTTAACCATAGTTGTTAACTTTCATCGAATCAATCTTAACCTTCTTCTCTTAAAAACCTACCTTCATCGGATCGAGCTAAATAGTTAACTTTCATCAAATTCACACTCGGGACAGAAACATCAGCTAATGTTGGCATCATTGGTTGAGGGCCCCTAGTTTTTTCATGCATGATACAATGTGATTAGTGTGACCAAATCGAGAGCGACAAGTGCATAAAACATGTAGTCTTTCATACAACACAGATTGGAAGAATCCTTGGTCTCCATTACCAATCCAGATTTTAGAGGGAAGTGCTTTTGAGACATCAGTTTCAATACAAATCCTAGCTGTAGAGGCCCTAGAAAAATTGGGAGTTGATATAAATAATTAGAGGCCTCCTCAATAGTGAAATGCGCTCTAGCATCATGGAGGTGAATCGGAAATCCTTCAAGGGCCACCCAAACGGGAGCCATGGGAATAACTATGAACAGAGAAGGAATGGGTCCATCTCATTAGATTCATAGTAAATTCCTAGAAATCTCAAGAATTTTTAATCCAAAATCGTTGAAAATGAGAATCCGTGTGAAAGTTAAAAAGAATAATATGTGAATGGAGAAGTTCGACCGAGTAAGTATGATAGAACCCTAACACCGCCATTGCATTCCGAATCACAGGAATGGGGGTCGAGCATTAGGGAAGGTCCCAACAAGAGCGAAATGAAAATTAACCGAAAGAACCTGAATATCGAAGTTGGAGAAGCTGACTGCCAGGAAGCCTTTGAAACCCCCGACCTTGGCTTGGATTCTCTGTAAGTCGATGTCAAAGAAGAAAACGGGCTGAGATTGCAGGTGTTGGTCGGGGAAGGGTTCCCTTACCGCCACTGCAAAGGTGGGCCGCGATGGGCCGGCCACTATCTCGTGCCCCTCCGTCGGCGGCATCGGATGCCGCACAAGCGTCCGGAGGAGGAAGGTCGACGAAAACTATGAATATACTAAAAGGTATACTTAAGCCACTATACTAAAAAAGTATACTTACTAAAAATCAAGCAATACAGACATTCAGTCGTTTATGACCTGTTATAGCATGTTTTTTTTATTAAAATATAAAGAAATTGTTAAAATTTGAAAAAACAAAAACAAAAACATTAAAAAAATTAGATTTATATGATTTTTTTTTTATAAAATGTATCAATTGTATTAGTTTAATATAATTTTTCAAAACTAATATGCTATAACATGTCAAAATAGTTGTACTGGTTGTGTATTAAAAGTACGTGTACATTTATGATAATATTTTTTAGTATACGTATTCAAGTGATGAATTTGAAATAGTAGAAGGTCTACTTAAACCTTTATGAAGTTTTATGGAACTTTTACTGTATGAAGTAACATTTCCGAGACTGCTACTGTTATGAAGTTTTATGAAACGTTATGAAGTAATTTACATTTCCGAGTAAATTAAAAATTGTTACTTCTAACTATTCTTTTACATTAGCAGTTTACATGTTAATAAACTTCATACATTGTAAGATATGATCAAATCAAATACTACACGAGTTTAGAGTGAACTCGAAAATGATTATGAATTTCATGTTAAATTAATTTGTATTGATTCTTTAATATATAGCAAATGAAGTATTAAACGATCTTTCATGTCATGTGAGATATCAAACGATAAAAAAATAGAAGAACATACAACAAGATATGATAAAAATACAGCAAGATTTGATCAAATCAAATACTTAGCCCATTTTCTGTAATATAGCGTTTTCAAAGTAAGTAGAATATATTTGGCAAAAATAGAGTCTTGGATTCAAAATTCGGTGCATAAATTAATCATCTTGTAATATTTTGAAAATGAAAGCTGAATACAAGTTTTAGAACTCAAAAAGATCTTTTCAATGAGATATGAAATTGATGGAGTATATCCCCTTATACCAGGGATACCGACATTTACAGATAAAGGAACTCCAGAATCCATTAAGTCATTTTCTTACCTCGGCCGAGGTTGATTCTGAATTCAACCCCCAGATTATTGAGATAAGTTCAAAAATGCATCTGATGTCGAGGTCAACATCAGATCTAGCGCTAAACTATACCCGAGCATAAGGTAAACTGACCCTCACAGAGTCAAAGAATCAAGGAAACTACTTCGCGTAGGATTAACGTACTGAGGTTACCCTAACTCAAATAAGCGCACTACATCCAAGCTCAACCTCACCTTTTTTAGAGAAAAACTTTTATTAAGAAGATTGTGGACTTAGTCATTTCAGGACTCGAGATCCGTATACAACTGTGATTATGTCATCCATGCGATAGTTGTCTAGGATTACGTCACCCAGGCGGTTTCGCACAGAAGGTTCCAGATTGCACACGTGCGCGGCTTCCCTGTGCACTTCTGTAATGAAGGCATCAAATCTGTTATACACAGTACCAATTAGTCTGCTATAATTATTCTCTCACCAATTAGACTTTACACATGTCATCTTTTTTTTCGGTTGAACCGCACTAGGTGGGGGGCGGGGAACACCTCCCAAATTTATTAAATTAATTTGAAAGAACAATAGATTTAGAGTACAAGAAATACATCAAACTGGAAAGAGGAACAAATTACATTAGCAATTAAAGTTTTTTGATGGAATTCCAAGCGATGCAGAGATCGATCTGTTGTACTTGTTGTCCAAGTATTTCCTTTTACACTATAAATAGTATCTTCCTTCCAACTTGTGAAAGGGGATCGCGATTGTGCGCACATGCCAATTTTTCTACTCAATCTATACTTATTAGCACTTTTCAATTCTCCCTCGGTTTATGCTAGCACATAGGTCAATAATAAATTCTTCCCATACTACCTGAGTCTTTCCCACGATGTAAATATGAAACCATGATTCAGCTTTTCCAACCAAGTACATGCTTGCAATATCAACTCTCTGTTCATAGGAAATCTTACACAAATTGAAGAATTTTAAACATTTCTTCATCCACACTTTAGGATTATTACCATCAAATGACGGAAATTCCAGTTTGGGAGAAAAACCAAAAGTTCTGGAATGAGATGTATTACCGTGCTTAGAATTATCTTCTCGATAAAGATTTTCTGATTCTTCATCTGCATTTTCATGGCGGATGAATCCTTCAGGTGATTTAGGGTTCTGCTTCTTCTTATCTTTCATCATCTGTAGATTTTCTCCCAAGACTAATGATTGCTCCTCCAACTTTTGCTCTAATGAGCTCACTCGATCTTCCATGATATCCTTCAAATGAAGCATCGTGACTTGTTTCTTTGCAAGTGCCAGGTTTCTTGCAGGTGATTTTCAAGATTGAAATGTTGCAGAATCTTGAGTCTTTGATACCAATAATACCGATTACGTGATTTAACTTTCAAAAATAGAAAGGAGTCAATCGAGTTACAATAATGATCACAAGTAGTAGAGTAGAAGAAGATAGCCAAAGAGATTAGAGAAGAGAAGTTTTATTACATAGTCCAAGTCTGTACAATTCGTAGCTATCTTTGTATTTTTACCCCAGGCGACATCGGGGGAGGTGGTTTGGGGGGCCTAGGGTAAACTGGGATCAATCTCACTCCATTGAGAATTGAACCTGGGACTTCCCATAAGGGAGAGTGAGTTGGCGGTCAGCTGTGCTGAACCGCTTCCTCAGCTGAGAAACTAACACTGTTTCTCAAACTAACTATAATAATCGATTAACGGTTAATCAAATTGGAAAGCCGCTGAAAGCGTGATGATCTAATGAAGAATCCGACGAAGAAAATTATAAAAGAATATCTACCATATTGAACAGCTGAAAGATTGAAACAGGGAAACCGCTAATTTTAAGTGAGAGAGAAGACCAGAAATGAAGTATACATTAATGTGGCGCATAATTATGTTGAGGGTGTGGTGGAAGTCATTAGGAAGAACGAACGCATCATAAAAATTAAATTGATAATAGGAGATGAGATTATGTATGTGGTAATTGCCTATGCACCACAAGTAGGATTACATGCATCTAACACTCAACAAAATTAGGAAGATCTTGAGTAAGTGGTGCGACGAGTGCCAAGGTGATAAGTCCGCATTTTAACACGCACTTGATGCATGTTGGGATTGGTTTTTATTAATTTTCCTCGTTTAAATGTGTCACACAATGCCTAATTAGCTAAAGTCACAGTTTACCGAGTTTTTGGTTTGCGTTGGTTGTTTTAAGAATTAAAATCAAGAAATTGAGCCCGACACCGGCATTGAAGAATTATTCGGGACATTTCGAGACACATTTTAGAGTTATTGAGAAGTTTTAAAGGTCCACGGGGCATTAAAGGATTTATTTTGAAGCCAAGGGAGCTCAAGGATCAAGTACAAGATCAAATGGGGACAAATAGAGCTCGAAAATGGCAATTAGGATGACGTTCTATCAATCGTTTGAGCATATCTTTTCGTAGAAGCATCCAAAGGAAACGATTCAAGTTTAATATGAAAGATACCTTAATGAGATACAAATCTTATGAACACAACATGACGAGAATGTTAGAGTATTAAGGTCATAACAGACGAGGAAGTTAGATAATCGCTATTGTGATTTCAGGATGCGACCTTCCACCATTTTATCCATATCGTTTGCTTGGGTGTCCCAATTCCAGATTTGCAAGTTGTGGTGGATAGAGGACTTCATTAACTACAACTTTAATGAAGGAAGCATCGTCAAATTTAGACACAAAGTGCGCACATGGATAGAGAAGTTGGTCATAGGATGCTACTTCAGTGGGCATGTGGCCCCAAGTCATGATGGTAGTATCCATGGTTGACATGTTTTTGGCACTAATGAAGCGATGACAAACATTCTGAATATTGACTCGACATATGAGTTGTCTATAATGAACACTTGGTTCAAGAAAAGAGACATGCACCTTGTGACCTATAAGCAATAGAAGAACAGCTAATAGTACCCAAATTGACTACGTTTTAGTTCGGATGACTTGGAGAACTAGCTACACTGATTGTAAGGATATCCTAGGCGAGAGTGTTGTCACTCAATATAGGATGTTTGTGATAGATTTTCAAGGTAAGAAGAGAAAGCACGTTAAGGTACAAGTGGAACAAAAAATAAAGTGGTGGAGGCTGAGGGGATCTCCAACAAAGCTTTACACAATATGTATATCTTACATATTGTTCATACATATACATCTTTTACGTATATACATCTTTTATAAGAATCTCTACATAAAATAGATCACAAAAGCATACAAATAAGGGAATTAATAATAAGTAATAACTATTGGAAAACCTTAAAATTGTTGTGAAATGAAGAAGATGATGAACAGATTTAAGAGATAGATATATAGATAAAAACTCCTAAATTACTTCTTCTTAATATCTTTCTTCTTAATATCTGAAATTTCTGAGTTTCTAAACTTTTCTAAGTATCTGTACAAGTGATTGATCAAGCCCTATTTATACTAGTTGGGCTTGGTGATGAATCATCAAGGAGTAATTCTACACATCTTGTTGGCATCATTAAAACTTGCCATCTATCTATCTATGATTACAAGGATGGTAAGAAGCTTAGTGTCCTGATTACAAGGATGATGACAAGGATGAACAATTCACACTTGTCATTTCCTGGGTTTTACAACACTCCCCCTTGAATGTTCATCCTTGAGAATAGTTATTTGTATTTAAAAATTTATTGTGAAGATTAGTGTGAAAATTAAGGGGTAAAGATTATGACATATAATGTCGTCGTATTTGGATGTACTGTCTCGTTAAAAACCTTATCAGGAAAGACCCAGTGGGATAAAAACCTGATGAAGGGAAAAAGAGTGCAGTGCATTCAAATACTCCCCCTGAAATTAACATAAATTTTGAAGGCGGTGCATGCCGATTTTCTGTACAAGTTCAACGAACTTCTTCGGGGGTAAAGATTTGGTGAAGAGATCAGCTGGATTTTCACTGGATCTGATTTGTTGAATGTTGATTGTGTCCCTTCTTTCTCAAGGTCATGAGTAGAGAAAAACTTTGGAGATATGTGCTTCGTTCTATCTCCTTTGATGTAGCCTTCTTTAATTTGAGCTATGCATGCGGTGCTGTCTTCGTATATCACAGTCGGGTGACAACTAATAGCTTTTATACCACATTCATCTTGGATGTGTTGAATCATAGATCGCAGCCACACACATTCTCTCCCGGTTTCATACAGTGCAATTAATTCAGAATGATTTGATGATGTAGCTGTCAATGTCTGTTTCATAGATCTCCACGAGATTGCGGTATTACCATAGGTAAATACGTACCCGGTTTGTGATTTTGCCTTTTGAGGAACTGATAAGTATCCGGCGTCTGCATACCCGATTAAAGAAGCTGTTGCATCTTTGTGGTAGAATAGGCCGAGATCAACTGTACCATGGAGATAACGGAATATGTATTTGATCCCGTTTCAATGACGTCTTGTTGGACATGAGTTGTACCTAGCTAATAAATTTACAGAAAATGCAATATCTGGTCTAGTATTATTAGCTAAATACATTAAAGCTCCGATAGCACTCAGATATGGTACTTCGGGACCGAGTATATCTTCGTCGTCTTCTCGTGGACGGAATGGATCATCGTGTATGTTGAGAGATCGAATGACCATTGGTGAAGTCAAAGGATGAGCTTTGTCCATATAGAATCTCTTCAACACTTTCTCGGTGTAATTGGATTGGTGGATGAAAATTCCATTCCTCAAATGCTCAATTTGAAGTCCGAGACAAAATTTGGTTCTCCCGAGATCTTTCATTTCAAATTCTTTCATAAGATATTTTGCAGTATTTTCAATTTCATCGGGAGTTCCAATAATGTTTAAGTCATCAACATATACTGCAATTATGGCGAATCCCGAATTTGATCGCCGAATGAAAACACATGGACTAATCGGATCATTCTTATATCCTTCTTTGAGAAGGTATTCACTGAGACGATTATACCACATTCGTCCAGATTGTTTTAGTCCATACAATGACTTTTGTAATTTAATGGAAAACATTTCTCGAGGTTTCGAGCTATAAGTTTCAGGCATTTTAAATCCACCGGGAACTTTCATATAAATGTCTGTATCGAGTGAACCGTATAGATAGGCGGTCACTACATCCATTAGGCGCATTTGCAGCCTTTCAAAAACAGACATGCCAATGAGAAACCTTAATGTAGTTGCATCAACTACTGGAGAATAGGTTTCTTCATAATCGATTCCCGGCATTTGAGAAAAACCTTGGGCAACAAGTCGGGCTTTATATCTAACAATTTCATTTTTCTCATTGCGTTTACGCACAAATACCCATTTAAAACCCACAGGTTTTACGCCTTTTGGCGTAGGGACTATCGGTCCAAAAACATCACGTTTCTCAAGTGATTTTAATTCACCCTGAATAGCTTCATTCCATTTTGGCCAATCGTGTCGTTTCCGACATTCTTCAATTGATGTTGGCTCATTGTCATTGTTTTCATTCATTACATTTGTGGCAACGGCATAGACAAATATCTCATTAATATCAATATCTTTTCGATTCCATTGCATTCCAGTAGAAACGTAGTTTATTGAAATTTCATAATTATCAACGTTTCTATCAGTATCTGGAATATCTTCCTCATTTGAGGAAGTTGGATCATTATTTGAGATGTTTGTTCTGTCAATATCATTTTCTATGCCAGTATTTTCAAATTGTTCATTTTCCTGTTCAGAAGGATGAACATCTTTGGCATCACAGATCAATTCCTGCCTTTTAGTTTTTCTTGGTTTGATATCTTTTGATCCAAGTGGCCTGCCACGCCTTTTGCGTATAGAAGAATCAATTGCAAGAGATTTTTCAGAATTCTCTACTGGAATTTTGATTCTGGCAGGAGCATTTATAGCAGGAATATGTGACTTTGTCACTTTCTTTGTGTCTGTGAATGCATCAGGCAACTGATTTGCAACATTTTGTAAATGGATTATCTTTTGCACCTCTTGCTCACATATATTTGATCTAGAATCAAGGTGTGATAATCCTGTTGCATTCCATGTTATTTCTTTCGTACTTGGGTCCGATTTATTAGTTTCTCCCCCTAAGGTTGGGAATACTGTCTCATTGAAATGACAGTCAGCGAACCGTGCAGTGAATAAGTCACCAGTCATCGGTTCAAGATATTTTATTATTGAGGGAGATTCAAATCCAACATAAATTCCCAACCTTCTTTGAGGACCCATTTTTGTACGATGAGGTGGAGCAATCGGAACATAAACAACACAACCAAATATCTTTATGTGTGCTAAGTTTGGCTCTTGTCCAGTAACTAATTGCATTGGGGAATATTCATGATACGCAGTCGGTCTAAGCCGAATTAAATTTGCTGCATGCAAAATAGCATGTCCCCAAGCTGATGAAGGTAAATTACACTTCATTAATAATGGTCTAGCGATTAATTGTAATCGTTTAATCAAAGATTCAGCAAGACCATTTTGTGT